CTTAATAGTTGGGATATGGCCTACTCTGGTAAGATCTGTCTTCAGGGATGGCCAGCGATCCTATCACATTTCCCTGCTTTCCTCCGCTTCCTACCATTGTCTTCTATCAGGAGTCAGGGGAACATCAGCTTCCTAAAAACAGACTTTTCTCTCTGTCTTTTCACGCTGGTGTGACAGATTTCACATGATGCGTGACATGATGCACAGACTTCCAGTGGCTGTGCATCATGGGAAGACTAGTGTTGGACTCCGTTATGCCAGTATATGAAGACAGTGAGAAAATGGGGGAAATTTAAGGTGTGATAAGGTCCTTAGATCCCCACAGTAAGCAACAACACCGGTCATGGCCCTTGCTGAAGCTGGATTGCCCAGCCCCTTGTACTCTATATGTATACTCTAAATGTATTCTATAGAAGACATTTGAAGGGGTGGGCACAGAGCTGTAAAGCAGATGCACTTTATACCCTGCCTGGCTGATGCAGGGTGTTGGCTAAAGGATCCTGGAGCTATATCCCTGCAAGCCCTGATTATACTACACCAGTGATTCCCAAATGTTAGGTCTCCGGCTGTTCTGGACTTCAACTGCCTGAAATCCCAGCCAGATTGGTCAATGGTCATGAATTATGGGAGCTAAAGTCAAAAACATCTGGAAGACTAAAGTTTGGGAAGTACTACATTACATAAATAAGTAAAATGAAAAGTTTTCAGGAAAGAGAACTTTGCTATTATTCTGGAATTTTTAAAAGCACATCTGATCTTTAGCATTTGAAATTTCAGTAAGCAGTGGTTCATATTTGTAAAGGGTGCCTTTCAAATAAATTATTCTTCTCTTAGTAGTCTCAGGGGGTGTGCTGGCAGGCTAATGCTCATGAAAACACACACCTAATGAAGTCAGTTGTCACTTGGAAAATGTCTCCAGCCTGTAAAGGGATGCGACATCCAGACGGGAATCTTCTTTTCAAGATGTACAAAACTAGACAGACGGATCAATTCCCTAATCATGAAAACATACTCTGTCTTCTTAATATGCCCTTGGGCAAATTACACTCAGTCAAAATGCTGCTCCAAATAACAAACTATTGAACAGTGATTTTTCATTATTGATGGAACATGGGTCACCAAGTGAGAGAGTTACCAGATCATCTCCCTTGAGGCAATTGTCTCTGGCCACATTTTCAAAACTGCCAGGTACCCTGATCCTGAATATATAGGATGTTGTAGTGGCACATTGTGTACTGAGTACCAGCAAATATCTGGAAGAGGAAGGCAGGCTTATTTTGCTGTGTAGTTATAAGCAAATTCTAGTGCCCTTGTGATAGTTTACTCAAAGGATCTCCATAGTATTTGTAAGAGGTTTAAGGATGTGGGTTGGTGAATTATCCCTTTCAGTCTGCTGCAGCTCTATCCCAGCATACCACCATCTATGCTACAAAAGAGAAAATGTGACTTCCACTCCTAAAGAATGTATACAGTAATGAAAACAGCACAGTCACTGCTTTCTTTATAACACAATCAAGCATCACATAGAAATTTGCTGCCTTGTGTAAAATCTCCTCCTTTGTATGTTTTTAAACAGAGGCTGGGTGCCATCTGGCAGGAGTGCTTTGATTATTTATTCCCATGTGGCAAGGGGTTGAACAGGATGATCATTGTGGTTTCTTTCAGCTCTATGATCTAAATTATTAGTGTTGTAATTGTGGGAGAACTGGAAGAGAGGCCACATGTTCTTTCACACTCGTGTTTACAGTCCAAGCACATATCACCAGTCAAAGCAGAGTCCTACAATGTCAGGAAATTTGGGAGATCACTTTTCTAACTGTGAGATACATGCATACAGAGCTGTGCAAGAATGCAGGTTGCAGGATAAAGATAGTTTGCTTGTTCAGAACTGTGCAGCTGTGCAGAGTGGAAAATAGTCCTCCCTCCCCACCATCAGTAAGAGTTATAATACAGTACTGCTAATTAGTGCATGGAAATCAGAAAAGTGGCCTCAAGGGATAGGATAAACACCCAGATCATTAAAGGAGAAATAATGTCAGGACAATGGCTGGGGAACATATGTGCTGTGCAAGCGAGCAATGTGTTAAAGTACTGGCACAAAACTCTAGTGGAGATTGTTCCAGAGATGATGTTTACAATAGGCAGTTTGCATTCTCCAGATGTATAATTCCATCAAGAGTGCATCTACACTGTAGTATTAATGCAGTCTGATACCATTTTAACTGGTATGGTTCAGTGCTATGGAATCATGGGAGTCAGGCATGTAGCCGGGGGGGGGGGGGGAGGCTTGAGGGGCTTCAGCCCCCCCCCCCCAAATTCTCATGGTGGTTCGCGAAAAGGCCTTACTGGTGCATTATTTAAACTGTTATGTTTATTCATATCATGATCTGATCACCATACTCAATATATCCCATATGCATGGGGGTATTGGGGTAACGATACAAAAGGTTTGCTAGGGTAGACCCTCTTTCACTCAGACTCAGCCCCCCCGAATCAAACTAACCCCCCCAATCAAAATCCTGGCTACGGGCCTGGTGGGAGTTGTATTTTTACAAGGTCTTTGGCTTTCTCTGCCAATGAATGCTTATGTCTCACCCAAACTAGAAATCCAGGATGCCATAGCATGGAGCCAAACTGATATACTGCCATGTAGATGCACCCCAAGACTCTTCCCCCTCCCCCAAATCTTAAATGCATGACTCTGAGATTGGTTTTATAAATGCACCAGTGTTGCCATTTAAAGTTATCTTTCTGGTGTTCCATCCCATAACAGACAGAATTTGTTGTTTAATTGTGGGCGGCTCAACACATTCTGACAGTTGGCTTAGTGGTGACATGAAAGAGAGATGCAGTATATTTTTGAAGGGCAACAGAACACCCTGAAATGGCTACTGGGCATTTCTGTTCTTTTGGCAGTAGTAGGGATTTGTTAAGTGGCCATTTAATGGCCCAGGTTCATATTCTGCTCATCGATTCATTCAAGACCGGCACATTTCACTTTTAAAGCCCCCTTCTCCCTCATAATTTGCTCCTGCTCCCAATATGCTGCTTAAGAATTATATTTGAAGTCTTCCCTCCTCTCACTGTGACATCTTCATTGCTGCTTCATTAACTGGTGCACCATCGGTGCATTTCATTATAGTGTCTCTCGTCACTCACTGTGCTGATCTTAGATGCAGATACAAACCAGCTATCAAATGCTAGGTGGTATTTATCTTCCTCGCACTTTCAAAAGAAGGGGAAATTGGCTAAATCATCCCAGGGGCAAACATACCCATATTTGTCTCTCTCCATCATCCTGTTCCCTCCAGCAGCTGGAAGGATATTTAGTTGAGAACAGTTGTGGGGCTCTGTATGCCTGTGTGCTTTAATCATCCTGAAAAGATTCCAGGTTTTTGAGACAGTCCATATCGCATCTCTTTGGGAAAGAAAGATCTGATCTGAAGCAGTTCTCAGTGAAGCAGCCAACAAATAAGTTGAGCAATTGCCAGCGAAGGAAAAGATCTCCCTGTTTGCTTACAAAGGTCTTGGCATTTTCAGAAAACAGGCCTCTTTGAAATGCTTTTTCCTCAAAGAAAGGAAGAGGCTCTGTGAGCAAGTAGGGATGTGAAAATCAATCAGTTTTATTTTTCCTTGTGTTTCTCAGAAACCTACTGGCATTTTCTTCTTCCATCCCAGTTTGGCATTGGGCTATGAAGCTCTTCCTGCTGCTAAAATTCATAACACACTCCCCTCCCATTATACACATTTTAACCAATTTTTCTCATGTACACATTTTCTATACTTTTCTCTCATGGATCATAGCAAATCTAGCCCTTTTAAAGATGTACACACTTCAGTTGCATACATTTCTTCCTCATTAAAATGCGGCTTGATTTCCAAGACAAGGAAATTTTATACAGAAAATACTTTGTTTCCATTTCTTACTACTAAGCAGAATGAGGGGAGGAAATGATAAATACTTATATTCTAACTTTGACCAAAGTAACCCTCTGCATCCTTAGATAAGCTCACCTAATAACGTATACAACTGGTTTCCAACTATAACATAGCTACACAATATAACTCCTGCTAGGTTCAGTAATACATATTTTTGCAGGTAAAAAGCTATGAACTCAAGGGGACATCAGGTTCCTTGTTTTCCTTGGAACAATGTTTTAAACCTTCTTTATGGAACAAAACTCTTAACTCCTTGTGTCTTGAAGTTATATGTTATGGTGATCCTATGAATGTCATATAAAACATATGCTGTGAGTTTTCCGGGCTGTATGGCCATGTTCCAGAAGCATTCTCTCCTGATGTTTCACTCACATCTATGGCAGACATCCTCAGAGGTTGAGAGGATCTGAAATGTCTTCCATAGATGTGAGTGAAACATCAGGAGAGAATGCTTCTGGAACATGGCCGTACAGCCCAGAAAACTCATATCAATCCAGTGATTTCAGCCATGAAAGCCTTCAACAACACATTCATACTTTTTTTTTTGGCAAGGAGAGATGGGTTTGTTGGTTCCTTCTTCTCAAATACGAAGAAAGAGAAAGACGATGGGACACATGTGTCAGCATGGCTCATTCTTCAAAATTTGTCTGACTAGATCAGTGATTTCTGGTTGAGAAGGCATGAAGGTGGCAATAAGTGTAGTGATGCCAAGGTACCAGGTAATTTGAGGTAAAAATTGTCTTGGAAAGATTTGACTAAAGAAAAGTGGTCTCAAACCTTTAAAATATGAGAAAGGATGGTATTTTATGTTCTGTTTAGTGTTGATAGCTCAAGTTGGATGTGATTTCAAAGATTAACAGAATGCGTGGATCGTCCTATGCAAAAGAAGACTCATTCTTAATATTTCTGCGATGTTGATATATAGTTCTCCTTTTTTGTTGTTCATCTATCTTTTTATCAGTAATAAATGCTCTAAAATTTATTGGAATCTACAGTCTGTTTGAACACAATGAAATGCACATCCATTTCTAAACTGGTCTTTTCTTTTTATCTTCTTGCAGGTTACATGTGCAAATTTAACCAGTGGTGGGAAATCAGAGATACTAAAAACAGGCAGTTCCAAATCCACACTAAAACACATATGGACAGAAAGCAGTAAAGACTTGTCTATCAGCCGGCTGCTATCACAGACTTTTCGTGGCAAAGAGAATGATACGGATTTGAGCCTGAGGTATGATGCCCCAGAAACATATTCTGAGCAAGATCTCTGGGACTGGTTGAGGAACTCCACAGACCTTCAAGAACCTCGTCCCAGAGCAAAGAGACGGCCGATTGTCAAGACTGGAAAATTTAAGAAAATGTTTGGCTGGGGGGATTTTCATTCCAACATCAAGACAGTCAAACTAAACCTGTTGATAACCGGGAAAATAGTTGATCATGGCAATGGGACGTTCAGTGTTTACTTCAGGCATAATTCAACTGGCCAAGGGAATGTATCAGTGAGCTTGGTCCCTCCGACCAAAATCGTGGAGTTTGACTTGGCACAACAAACAGTGATTGATGCCAAAGATTCCAAGTCCTTCAACTGCCGCATTGAATACGAGAAGGTGGACAAGGCCACCAAGAACACTCTCTGCAACTACGACCCTTCAAAAACATGTTATCAGGAGCAGACCCAAAGTCACGTCTCATGGCTTTGCTCCAAGCCCTTTAAAGTAATCTGTATTTACATTTCCTTTTATAGTACAGATTATAAACTAGTACAGAAGGTGTGTCCTGATTACAACTACCACAGTGACACGCCTTACTTCCCCTCAGGTTGAAGTGGGCCATGTGTCTGAGACTGGACCCTGAGGAACAAACAAATTAATAATAATAATTAATAATAATAATTTAAAAAAGAATAAAAGAGGTCATACGACAGGGCTATTACCTCAAAGAAGAAGGCCACATCTCTTGCCTGGAATGTGTCTACGCTCTGCTGCTGATGTCAACTGGCTGCAAATATGTTAGTGGAAACCAATTTAATGTCATTTCTGCCCAGTCAGCTCCATGTATCTCAGCCCAGTTGCAAATCACTATGGATTTTAACTAATGCCGCACACGGTTTCTCTCTCTATCTCCTTCCTCCTCTTTGCAGCTTGCATCTATTGAGATTCCTGTTAAGAGGGTTTTCATTGTCTGATGTATAATGTTTCAGGATAACCTATCATCAAGCAAAAAGGATTAACTAGACAGAGAATGGTTTCTTAACATAGACTGTTATGGAAATCTCCTTTTTAAGTCTCGAATACATGATAATCAATAATCCCCACTCATGCATTCTATCATTTGGAGTAGCTGTACTGGTAAATAATACTGTGTAGGAGTAAATGCTTGTTAAAATGGGGGCGGGGGGATTGTGTGTCTAGAGTTCAGTATTTCTCTTTATATGAACACAACAAAGTATCGTGACTTTTCTCCAGCACACAGTGGGCACATTCAAGGTTGTGTAAGGTGGTCCTTTTTCTGCTGAGGAAGCCTGTGAACTAATAAAGATGAGCAAACATTTGGAATTTACACGTGAACAGATCTTCTGCTTTTGTAGTTGGGTACTCATCACTGCAAACATGTAGAGTCGACCGAGCCCAACCAAGATGCCCTTCAGTCATCGTGTAAGAAAGAAAAAAAATGCTCACTAGACAACATGTAAGTTGTAAGTGTCTGTCTTATCTTTATTACACAATATTGTAACAAATTCAATAATCTAGTCTTCATTTGTATGAATGGTTTGTATTGTACATAGTTTAACCTGTGTTATTTGAGCTGCTTATTAATATTAACTTGTAATTGTCTCTCTGCTTGTTATTGGTTAAAAACAAAAACAAGGGAAATGAGGAATTCGTTTTATCAGTGTATACGTAAACTCCATTTAAGAAGACAGAATTCTGTACAAAGCATTTATTCAGCTGGTATTGTTGGAAGCTATACACTTAACAACATTTACAATTTGTCTGTATTTAGATCTTTTATTTCCAGGTGAAAAAAGATTGAAATGTATATAAAAATAAAATACTTAAATTTGAGTTTCAATATGCACTCCGTAAGATGATGGTTGAATGAGCATTAGTGTAAGACTGAGTCGATATGGAAATTAGGTGCACCTTTTGCTACAAACTATATACTGAAGGCATGTATGTCTGGTGTCTCCATCCTTCCTGCCCCCATGTGGTTACAGACCATGTGTTCTTTATCATTATCTAGGATTTTATAGTACCCTTTAGCACACAAAGTATCGTATACATATATTAATATATAAGTTAACCTCATGTCTGGTTGAGGGCAGGTTTGTGGCCCAAAATTATGAATTTTGATATGACCAATGGATAAATCAGGTGCCACTTCATGTAGAGGGGAAGTACCAATGTCACCTCAGGAGACCAGCCGTCCCTGGCCAGCATGCTGCCATTTTACCATCTAGGCACTCAAAAAGGCTAGAAGCATCATCCTGGTGGAAAGAGTAAAGGAAATCTTTTATGTTCTCTTAGGACAGACTCTTTTCTTTCACCATTCTATTGGGAGAAGGAAATGATTCCTTTTTTGGGATAAGATATGGTACTTACATTGACCTGTGAATAAACTGACCCAGTTTTTTTGGGTTGATTTTTTTCACTAACATTTCTAGACTTACATGAATATTTACAGCAGGTTACAATTTTTGTACCATGCACCTACATACATCTATGGATGTCAAATGGTAAACTTAGCATGATGGGAGCAGGGCTGTTTGTCAAAATAAAGCTTGTACAAATTTCAGGAGTATAAGTAAGGGGTGGACTAAATGAAAGTGCTGCCCCATAAGATTTCTGTCCCCCGCCCCGCTCCAAATTTCCTTTTGGTTCCCAAATTTCTAGGACGGCAGTAACTTTAGCTGAACATTTAGTACCTCATCAGATGGGCAGGGGGAAAGCAGAGGGAACCATCCTCCTCCTTTCCCTACCACCTTTCCCTATCTTCTGGGATGGCCTCTCATACCATGTGGTTTCTTGTCCTTTCCCCACTTCCTCTTCATATTCTCCTCAAAAGGCACTCTATGGACTCTGTTTCTCCATGCTGCTAAAATGAAACTATGGAATCCCACCGGAAGTTGCTCTGCGTCATGTGATGGGCTCTATGAGACTCAATTTTAGCAATGAGGAGAAACGGGGAGAAGACATTTGATAAAGTCCTTAGAAATGCAGTTCAAGCATCAAAACAGACGTGGCAAGAAAAGAGACCAGGGGAATATGAACAAAGCAAATATAAAAATGGTTAAGTGTGTAATGGGAGGCTGAATTCTTATTGGAGGACAATGCTGTCATTTTCCCCTAGCTACACCCTTGAGATTTATGGAGATTTTCAAATGTAGTCTGTGCATGATATATTTATGCATGCACATCCACACATATATGTATTCACAGGGTAGAGGTGATACCTACCTGTTTCCATTGTCTCTCCATCTCCTTGCAATTGCTTCTTTCTGTCCTGTTATCTCCTCTGATGATAGGCAATAACTTCTGCTAAAAAGAAAAATGACATGTAAAGCCAAAGCTTGGAAATGGTGGCTGGAATCCTGTTAGGGACTTTTGCAAGTGGACCTTTTATATGGGAATTAGAATTAAGCAATTCTATAAAATCAATACCAGGGAAGGGACTGCTGTTACATTATTATGTAGAAGAGCTGACAAAGTGACTGATATGCATCAGGACCACTGCACAATTGAGGTGATGCCTAACCAATTCACACCAGTCAGGTAGTGCATTGGGTCATGCTAGGGAATGCCAATATGCAACAAAAGAGTCTGATGTACTTCATGACACTATTGTCAGTGTTCTATTACTTCAAAATTCACTAGCTGGATCTTCTTAGTATCTCCACAGCATTGCTAAGTATATGTGAAGTTCTGCAATATAGACTGTGATAAAGGATTTTAGCCATGACTTACTGCACAATTATACCCTGAATCCCCAGCCAGTATAACTACTGATGATTCTGGAGATTGTCATACAAAAAAAAATCAACAACATTTCTGAGTTCTGGGGGACACTACATTTCAAAAGAAATATAGTCTTCGCCAGTTACATTTAGCATAGGAAAATTAGTATCTTCCTTTGCCACTCCTTACATTTATCCATACTACAACCTGTAATTTCTGATACAATGCCCATACCTCTGGAAGACATTGCACCTCCCTGTGATGCACATATGACTAGTGGCAATGTAATTATTTGAAAATGTCACCATTGGAAGTCTGTTCCATCTTCTACCATATTAATGTTAGTGGATTTCTTGGTAATTTAGGATAGATAATCATGTCATACAAAGAGAGTATAAGTATGGTGGGGATCATTTTGGTCACACATACAGAAGCTCCTACCTATCATATTTGTATCCCATGTCTCTCCCCGAGAACTCATGTGCCAGTGTTTTGCCTTGTGATTATTATAATAAGTCTACCAAAATTTCCCATTGAGACTCATAGGGTTTCAATCTAGGTAACTACAGCCTACATTAGGGTTGTATCCTCTACAGCACCATGACTTCAGGTTCCTTTATATGCATGGCCTCTAGTACTTGGGAAAAGTTTAGTAATCAGAGTTGGAAAGAGTTACTTTTAAAAGACTATGTCACATTAGAGCTCTTTTTATTTACTTATAGATCCCCAAATTTCTTCTAGAATGGGTGATTTGAGGAACTGGAGTCCAAAAAGTAATTTTTCCAAGTGTTCATCTACTTAAATACAAAAGTACTGAGCAGATGGTGGTCAATAAAAATTACAATTCCTAAATAATTAATTTCACAATTGTATTTGGGCTGCCAGTTTATCCTTCTGAGCTTTTGCCAGCATTGTTGCATTTAATTTAAGTGGAGATTGTGTCAAAGACTGTGCCTGGGGCCTTCTGTATGCAAAGCATGTGCTTTACTAGTAAGTAGAATTCTAGATTCATATATATGTTTCTATAAAGAATTAGCCTGGATAACATGTCTGGATAAGAAAAAAAACTAGAAGAGTGACTGATCTGGACTACAACTCTACAATTTCTCCTGCTTCCACCCCCAACGAAACCCTGATAGCACTGGACTCTGGAAGAGAAATGCATAGCTGGAAGTACAATAAAGTCTTGTTTAAGCCACACTTGGATGCATGCATCAACCAACTAAGCTATGCAGCCTTTTTCACAACACTTCTTTTAATCTCAGTAGGGATATATAGGAGAGCCAGTATGACACAGTGTTGGACTGAGATTCTAGGAGACCAGGGTTTGACATGGACACTTGTACCAGATGATCTTGGACAAGTCAAACCTTCTGAGCTTCAGAAGAAGGCAATAGCATTATCTCTTGCCAAAAAAACTGTGTGATAAGATCACCAATATTTGCCACACTTAACTGGGATATATGAATATGCCAATTTCAATTTCTCCAAGTTGTTACTTTTTCCAATTTTTAACACAATTCATCTTGAAAATCTTCAGAATTTTCTTAAATTTTGCATGAAAACGTATATACGTTTTGTGTGTTTCTCCTAGTGCATGCATTTTTGTAACCAATTTCCATATTTTCTGCAAACTTCCTCATGAAATGCATTTTTAATCTCATGTTCACAAATAAGTGTTTTTGTTGTTTTCATATTCTGCCTTACATAATTCTTACACATATTTAAAAAAATGAATATGCGAAAACTCGATTAACTTTCAAAATGTGTTGTCCTAGGAATTCTTTAATGGAATTCTCCATTGCAGTTCACCTGGATCAGCAATCCTGGATACAATGAAAGGGAGTAAGAAAAGACAAATAGTATATTACAGGTGCCTTGATTGAATGAAAGAAATCACAGTCTTAAGTTTGGAAAACCTGAACAGGGCTATTGATGGACCAGACAAGTTTTACATACTGATTCAAATTTTGGTAAGTTTTCAGAAAAATGCAAACTAGACAAATTTCATCTCCAGTTCTACTCACCATTTCCACTGTTACGTTGACTATTATATGGGCTATCACTTTCCTGAAAATATAGTGTGGATGCTTTAGTAGCTTTGAATTTGCAGAGAGAGTGATTTCTTGCAAGAATCACCATGGCTGTACAATTACAGTTTTCTCACAGGACCTTAGCTGACTGGTTAGAGGAGAGAGCAAAACTCTGGGGAGCATTACTAGCTTGGCTTCCTTGTAGCTAAAAGGAGTAACTTTGCCCATTGTCCTGGAAGTATATGCATGTTTATGTGTCTATGCTGGGAATATGCCTCTATTTAAAACCCAGAAATGAACATTTGTTTGAAATATTAAAAAGTTAAGAAAGACATGGAAGGTCTAGGCTACTTGGACATTTACTGGACATCTTGCTCCAACAGTTCCTCTTTCAACATGAAACATTCTCATAATGAGTGATACTTTAGCAATTGTAAAATGAAGTCAGTATGAGATATTTTATTTAAAAGCATTCTTGCCATCTTGGAGGCTGGTTTTAAATTTTTAAAGTCCTCATCCTTAATAACTACTAGCTCATTACCCCATCCACAACATCTGGCTCAGGCTACCCTGAGGCAGCCTATTCCTGCCAGCTTCCTTTCCTATAACCAGAAAATTGCTTGGCACTATTCTCCCTGCTCCAGAAGTATGATAGGTTGGAAACAACACAAGTGAACCAAAATAAGTCAATATTTGTCAATTCAGTTAAACATTTAACATCAAGAATGTGTGATGTGATATCCTTGAAAGGAGAAGAGGACAACTCAGAATTGGTTGACACTGTTGAACTTGACTTTATCTTCAATTGGCTGCTCTTCTCTGCACCTGTCTACTTTTTACTCTTGTTCTTTTCCTGGGATTGGTGGATTACATCAAGCATTGTAGACTGTTCACCTGCATTGAAGCTGTTTCTAGACTTGGCTCGATGCGGTCAGGAAAATGTTTTCCTTAAGCATACAGTCTTAAAAGTCAGTGATTCAGAAGGGAAATGTGCTAGCTGCATATCAAATAAATTCATTAGTTAAGCTTTCAAATGAATTTGCTAATGAATATACAAACATTCATCTAGGAGTAATGATTTGTG